AAGTACTACTTCATATATCTGTCCCTCTCTTCCCAGTCCACATATAAAATACGCACAAAAAGAAAGAAGAAGGGAGGATTTCATGTCGATCTTTTCCCAAGATATTTTCCGAGATCCTTTTGACGAGATTCTTTTTCTTTTTCTTTTTCGTACGTAAAATCACGCGATCATGATAAGCGCGACTCGCGTGCGACTGTCACGTGTTGTGTCTACATGCAGAGCGGGGACAGGAGCGAGAAAAAAAGAATGAGAGAGATAGAGAGAGAGAGAAAGAGAGAAAAAGAGAGAGAGAGAGAGAGAGAGAGAGAGAGATCAGGCGGTGGAGAGAGTGCGACGTATATACATATCTATATGAACGAAATAATACTAGACTCGTAGAGCGTATACGTCAGTCGGCCTCCATCGCGCGCGCGCGTCATCATTGGTCGTGCAAAACGGCGCACAAAGCGCATAATTTCGCAGACTCCACGCGAAAGATCCGTGTCGGCCTCGGGTTGATCTACCCAGTCATCGTCATCAAACGTCGTCGACATCAACGGAACGCGACTTCGTCCCCTAAGAAATGACGACGTGCGCGGCGACAAAGAGATCGAATTGCGTGCGTGCATACTGAAGCAGATACACAGCCTATTAAAAGGCAACTAGAGTGTGTGAGAGAGAGAGAGAGAGAGAGAGAGAGAGAGAGAGAGAGAGAGAGAGACAATATTGTCGAGTGACAAATAGGTACATAGTGACATATAGGTGGACAGGTGACCCCATCAGGGTGAAGGGGTGTGTTGCTCTTCGACCAACAGCTGTAGCTGTGGCTCCGTTTTTCTCCGTCTCGCGATTCGATCCTACACATTCCATCTCTCTTCTACGCCCCATTCTTTCCCCTTCCCTCCGCCGTAGACGGCGGTGGTGGCGGCGGCAGCAGCAGCAGCAACAGCAGCTGAGAAGATTCTCGGCGGGGCGCACGTCGTCGTCGCGCCGCGTCGCGTCGCGTCGCGTCGTATCGCGTCGTGTCGCGTCGCACTCGCCCTAGAAGCTGTCACGCGCGCTATTAATATACCCTCCGTGGCGCACAGCAGTCGTCCACGAGCGTCTTTCGAGCGCGGACGGTAGCGGGGGAGTATCTGTGCCATGCACGGCGAATAGAAGCCGTGTAGGACGAAGCGAATCAGCGGAGAAGAGACGCTCGCACCGGGAAACGTATCGTCCACGCCGCCAAGGAAATTAGGTGACAGAGAGAGAGAGAGAGAGAGAGAGAGGGGGGGCTCGTGCACGCTGGATGTCGTGGAGCGCCGTCGACGCCGCCGACGACTGATACTACGACGACGACGTCGAGCGACGTGCACGCGATCCGATGATGCATCCCGATCCGGAGATGATGGAGCGACTCTGGGCGTGGGATCGAGTCCTGGCCGGTCGCCGGGTCATGGAACGTGTCATGGAATGGATTTTCTTGGATGTATGGTGCTGGATGTATCGGCGAGCAATGGGAATCGAACGTGAGAACATCGATGGCAACGCAGTGGCGTCATCGTCGCTGTCTCAGGAGACGTCCGCGTCGTCGGGCGGTCCGTCCACCGATCCAGCATCCGTGGGGTGCAAGAGCGAGGTGTGCCGGTATATCGCCGCCGGCGAAAAGACGCTGCTCTGGGAGAACAGCGCCTTTTTCGTCAACCTCTACCTCTTCATCGTGCTCATCGCGACATTCTGGTGAGTCCAGTCGCCAGTCGCCAGTCATCAATCGGTCCAGTCTTGATGCGCGTGCGTTGTTCCTTCTGTTGTTCCAAAGCCGCTTTCTTCGACCTACGTTGTAAAAAGCAAACAAAGGAAACGTTCTTTCGAGCACTCCCGCGCTCGTCGACTCGTTTTTCATCTGTTCGCCATTCCGGCAGTTTCGCTCGCTTGTTCGCGACATTCATGTGAAAGATCTCTCTCTCGTAATGCGAGCCTTCTACAATAAGCCATTAGTCCTAAATTAGAAGCCAGAAGCTAAAAATTAACGACTGTGATTGGTCAATTTCTAGCTTCTTACCTCTGATTTGACTAATTGTAGAATGTCTCTTATCCTTTGTTTTCCAACACATTGCTTCCGCTGGAAATCTCTATTCTTGAAATGGAGTTATACGAAAAACTAAGGAAATACTTATGCCCGTATTTCATAGTCATCAGGCCTTATGGGTCTTCTACAATAAGCCTTATTAGTCATAAATCAGGAGTCAGAAGCTAAAAATTGACGACTGTGATTGATCTATTTCCAGCTTCTAACTTCTGATTTATGTTATGATAGGCCACTGGCTTATTGTAGAATAGAATGCCTGTTATATTTAAGGTTTCCTTAAATTTATCTTCGGATGCTCTATAAATTATTTTATTGGCTACTGAGCATCTAAAGATAATTTTAAGGAAGTCTTAAATATAAAGTCTGACTATGAATACAGATATTAGTATGCGTTAAATATACTATTACATATTTCTCGAGTTTTTTGTATACATTCCTTTTTAAGAATAGCGGCTCAAGTCTTTTATATTTGAACTAGTTTTTCTTTGTTATTGGTATATCCAGACAAAAAAAGGTTCAATATAATTAGAATAAAGCACATTTCCTATGCTCAAAATGAAAGGGACATAATAGAAAGGCAAATAACAGGAACAAGCATTAAATTTCAACCTTAGAAGTGCTGTAACATTGACTTCGCTTTCAGCAGAGATAGCAGCTTTTTTAAAATTCTTCAACACGATTGATTCCTTTCAGTTCCTTCAGTTCGGATCTAAATCAATTATGTCGAGGTATTTTACAATCATTGCAAAGATGTTGCTTTCTGAACGTAGTCATTTGTTACTTCAATTTGCTCGAGTAATATTGCTTTATGGATGTATTTTCAATTTTGTCGAAGATAATTTTTCGTTTTGTTTTTTATTCATACAGCATAGAAACTTGCAGCATCATCACTACAATATTTGCAATATTACTGCAATATTGCAGAAATGATCTACTCGGACAAAAAGGGAACTCGGAGGAAGATTCGGAGAATTACGCAGTTCGCGAGAGAACGTTTCTTTCCATTTAAAGAGCTATGCGTTTAAAGGACACGGTTTCTCCCATTCGCCGTCACTCTCGGCTCTCTAGTCGTCATCGACACTACGGCTTGTCTTTATGTCGGCTATATATTATTACGTTGACAGTTATCGTTTTCGTTGCGTCTTTCCCGTCTTCACGTGCACGTTGTGCGACGTGCCGCGCCTCCGGCCGTTCGTGACGTCACGCCGCGCAGCATTACAGCTGTTTTACGTTTCGTGTGCACAAGAGTAACTTCGCCTTCTAGGTCAAGGCCCCCTTTCCGAACGGACGAACGCTCGTGGGGAATTGGCGCGATACGCGCGCGCGCGCACACACACACACACCACGTAATCGGACAAGTGTGTAGTATGTCGTAATCGCGTGTCCGATTATTCGTAGTAAAGCGCGTAAATGCGCGGTGTTATTTGGAATGACGATCAGCGTCAACAAGACGTACTTCATCGTCCGCTGTTTACGTACATATATTGACGCTTCACTTCCGGTATGCGAGTTTTCCTATCTACACGTTTACTTCTTTCATACTTACGTTTTAAAGCTTCTTTTATGTCTTCCATCCAATTTGCGGTTTTAATTTACATCTTTTATATTTGATTTAAGTTCTCATTTTTTATTTACGACGTTTTTACATATTATGTTTTTACATATTTACATTTACCTCGCTTCCTTCCTATGCGAACGAAAAATGCTCTTGCGATCTGCGTAGTTTTCTTAATCTTTTTCCGAATTTTTGTTCAATTAGATAAAATAATAATATAACAAGTTACGCTATAAAATATTAAGTTTGTTCTTTTACGGTTTTAATTTGTGCTGTATGGATATAACATTCTCCAATGAAAGTAACAAAGACAAACTAAATTAATCCTTAATATACACACCTTTGGATTATTCGTGCATTTCTTTATTCATGTCCATTTCCTTTCTTTGAAATACTATCTAATCAAATATACCTTTCTCTTTTCTATTCCTAAAGAAAGTTTGGCATCTAAAGAACAAATTTTGTGCGTTGCCGACTTCAATTCATGCGTATCCTTTAACTGACATAACCGAATTCCGAAGTTCACTTCTGGGTCATAAATGACTCAACATGTGTACAGAGTGTATATTTTTTGTAACTAAACAATTTTTATTTTTTTCTTTATATCCAACTAATTCTCGGTTGTATTGCGGGAATATTTCACAAATTATTAAAAAAGAATTTAATCTCAAAATAGTATAGTAATAAACACGATTTTTGGCACTCTTGTGCTAAATGTTATCATAGTAATATCATATATAATATTATGTTGTCTGTAATGTTTTAAAGAACATTTTCCTAATAAATTATAAGTTTTTTTTAATACAATAGTAACAAAATGTATTGTTCAAAATGTAAATGCAATATTTCTTCAATTTATATTTCATTCATGCATATTAAAAAAAATAATTTTCAGGTTACTCAATAACTAAACTTTTTGGACGGTCGATACTTAAACTATTTCTTTATTGTAGCTTGCAATGTCAATTTTAAGGTATTGAATCATATTTTTCCTTTAAACATTTTTGTTTCAGTTTTGCATTTTTGTATGAAACAGCATTTTTCTCATTTTATTAATTATATTTAGTTATAACAATTTATTTACAATTTATTATGAACATATACAATTGTACAAATACAAGATATCAAAATATAAGTAAAAATCGTTTAATAATTTTTATATACTTGTAAAAATGATGAAAATTAATCCAGAACACGAATGGTTGAACATGTGTAGTAAAAGTGTCCAAAAAAAGAGTACTAAGGGTTAATTTAATCAAATAAATAATTTTTTCTTAGTGTAGATTCTTGGTCGAATAATTTTTCTCAATTCAATTCTCAATGAGATGCGATTAATCCAGTTAAGCACAAATGTTTACAAAAGATTGAGAAATGATCTGAATGTGAATATCATTAAGAGCAGTACGTACAAACAATTTGTTTTCCTCGCGATATAATTTATAAATTTAAATAAAATGAAGATGACGTTTGCTACGCATCGAAATGATAAATCAAATTTTTTATTTCGCGTATTGATTTTTGTCGCGCCAGTGTGCGAATTGTTTATTGGATAAGATTGACAGAAATGATTTTGTAATGAGTTATATATGTAATACGAGTACGTACGCATAATATATACTTAATATATAATATAGAAATAAATGAAGATCCGTACCTAACAAATACAGAAAAACCTGATGCCTTTTTCAGTCGAGATAAAATAGATGGATGCAGGGAGTCCATACGAGAATGACTGCTAAATTTCAAGCTTTTTACAGAATTTATGTATCAATGGATTGTTTCAGATCTTTTTATACACGATATTCACATTTTTGTAAGATTTCGAGAGTCCTTTCGTATAAAACAGAATACTTAAAGACCCCAGTGAAAAATTTTCAAATTCTTTATATAATTTTTCAAAATTTCTAAAAATTTTATAAAATTTTAAAAACCTTCTCTAATTTTTTATACGAATTAGAATACTTTTCAGAAATGCTGAGACAGTTTGGATTTTTTTTAGAATTTTTTATATATATAAATTCCGAAATATTCAAAGATTTCTTATTCTATAATTTTCGAAAAAGGAAGATATTTTCAGAAACATTCATAAATTTAAAATAAGAGAAATTCTTAAAAATACTATAAGATGTAGTGAGAATTTTTTTTTATCAGGAGAAACAAACAAAATCCTCTGTCATTTTAACTACAAACAAATAGATCTTACTTTTTTGTGGTATTATTTCCTTTGTTACAAATTTTATATATATATATATATATATATATGTGTGTGTGTGTGTGTGTGTGTGTGTGTGTGTGTGTGTGTGTGTGTGTGTGTGTATATCGATTGTGACTAAGAAATTCTTGAGAAATTCTTGCCAGAAATCGATTTATCCTTATTTTTTCATTGTACTAAATAAATTAGTATCACGACTCTTTCTGGTTGCTCATTGATCCAAACGGTCTTATGCTATATTATACTTATACATTTTACACATAGAATAACCTTAATTGTAACACGTGCTGCTTGTTGCAGGATCTATACTTTAATGGGAATGACGTCACCATTATTTCCATATAAACTTGTCGCCGTGTATTGTATTAGCCAATTGATAATCGCTTACAAATTCATGGACACCTTGGCCCCTGCAGTGTAAGTTATCGAAAGAAAATTATTACTCGCATTATGGCATCGCATTATTGCACGCTCAATACGTTGCACTTATATTTATTTCGTGGAAAAATAATCGTCGAGATAATTCGCTGAATAATATTAGTCGAGATAAATCGCTGAATAACGCGTATAATATTTCCATCATCAAATTATCTTCGATATGATTGTATTTGTCAATCATTTGCTTATTAATAGTAAAATTAATAGTAATATTAATAGAACTCGAAGATATTTCAGTAGTCGCTCGTAACAATCTTGCTCTCAATTGAAAAGGACTTGAATAAAAAACAAAAAAAACAATAGTAATCTTGATCTTTTATAAATGTAGGGAGCAAAGGGAGTGCTGTGGACTTCACTGGGTATGGCAGACCTTGAAGAAGTTGCGGAGCGAAAAACCAGGATTGGTAAAATTCTCTTTGTCTTCTCACAAGGAGGGAATCTTGAAAAGATCGAAAATTCTAATCTTCTGTTTCTAATCTTAATATTCCGTTTACAATTTTTCAGCATTGCATCGTCCTTTGTCTCGTGGCCTTCTTCCTATGGTTCCTCGACCACGTCCATACATCAACCCTTTGCTTCATGTACTACGGCATGTTACTGGCATGTATGCTACTGCGATTTCCCCTAAAACTGTTTGACAAAGCACGGGAGTACCTCTTGTCACACAAAGGTAATCGAAAACGTCTAAATTTTCCTGACAGAACAGAAGACTCGAATCTTAAATCTTAAAGATTGACTCTAGAAGTATCCATACCAAGAATCATTATTGATAGTTTCTATTTTTTTAGATTAGTATTATAGTAGTATTATATTTCTTGTGTAAAAATAGCTGTTTTAATTTTTTTATTTTTATAATTATATATTTTTTATGACGAAATATTTTGTTTTTCATCACTTTTTTTGTCTTCACAATAATTTATTCGCTTCATCCTTTTAATGATAAGAAATGTTAATACTTTTAGTGTAAACGATTAAACATAAATGATTTAGTTTTTAGATCTAACGTAATTAACTTTAATTTTGGACTATTTAACAATATAATTATGTACAATGTATAATTATCTAACTTTAACTGAAACACTTGATTAGGAGATGTAATTAAAGAACCATATTAATCTTTAACTAAGAAAATTTTTAATTTCAATCACAAACCGAAAGTCATATATTCGATCAAAGCGGATCTTATTACCTAATAATTAGCTTTATGTGAATTTTTACAAATTCCAGTTTAAGCAAACGATTTACGCACCGATTATTTGTTAGTTTTGAAAGCAGAATTAAATTTATTGAAAAAATTTTCTCTTATATTCTCTTATATTTTCTCTCCTTCATTGAACTTCGACATTGAACTTAAATCTTTATTAAACTTTTTTTACACACAATACGATAATATTTCGTTATATTAACGTTTACATGAGGAAACATTTTTGATTAATCTCACTTATTTTTCAGACTGGCAATGTGACAGTGAAATCGAGGATGAGTTTTTACCTGTGGTAACAGAGGCGAGTCTGCTGGTATTAACTCGAGTGGGGGAGACGGGCGATCATTCGCCAACACCGACGAGTGTGCAATCGGACACTCAGAATGGTATGTGTTTGACGAATTACTTATCACTTATAAGTGATATACTAAATATAGTATAAATATAAATATAGTATAAATTCAACAAATCCTAAAAAAACTCGCGATTCAGATATTGGATTTTAAATATTTTCGTAACTTTTAGAGATTATCGATTCCGCAATTTTTCATATTTATTGCTTTATTTGTTCGATAATTTAAAGCAAAATAAAATTTTTAATCTTTATCCACCATTCAATCTTCTCTACATCTTTATATCTCGTCGCATTGCCTGCAGATTCTTTTTATGACGAAGATTTCATAGAGGGCCTCCAGGAGATAGCATTCAATATGCCCTCCCATGGAGAGGGTAGCACCGACGGTGTCGAACTATCGGAACTGGAGCTCAGCGTCGGCGAGAACGACGCCGAAGAGGACGGTATAAAGTTTCAGAGCGGTCATTTCGAGAAGAGTTCCTCGTCCTCTTCCGAGGAGGAAGTCTTCGACGCGAAGAAAATCGTGGCCAGCAGCGATGAGAGCAACGGCGATAGCGACTTTGAGATAATCGACAAGGAGGAAATAGCAAAGATAGAAATGTGATGAAATTCGATCGAGGTGCAAAAAAATATGGAGAGATTATCACGCGCGACATTACGTTATGATGTAAAACTGAAAGAAAATCATCTCTGATCTCTGTAACCGACCGCGAACGAGATAAAAAATTTAATCCAGCAACGATAATCAATAGCAACTTCGCTTGAAGTACAATTGTCTCAACCGAATGTGATGGTAAATTGAGATAAAGAAAATAATATATTATTTAAGTACATAATTGTCTCTCGATCGCAACGTTGTACTCGCGCGCGTACAAAGTATCGATCTTGGTCGAAGATGCGAAGAAAGCAAAATTTATTTATTTAGACAAATTCAGTCGAACGCCCGTATCTTTTGTTCTCTACGCATCTAGTCTTGCGCTACTCTCTCATTGTAAGAAAAGTAACGAAGAGTAGAAAGGCGGGGACTTAAAGAATAAGGGAACTCAACTGTAGATA